CTCATTTTTTTCTTTTTTTCTTGACATTCCATGAACCAATTAAGCTCTGAAAAACCATTTAAACACAAGTAGGCCATGATTTCAACACTTCCACAAAAATAAAAAATTAAAAAGAGGCTGATATTTGAAGTCCTGTTTTCTCTGGCCCTGCCCCTAAAGCCTCAAAAACATTTGATAATAAATAGATAACACTCCACTGAGGACAGAAAATCTTTTTTTTCCCACCTAAAATTTTTTTGTATTAATTTTGCATGAGTATTGTACTAGTGGGGACTCTTGTCTCTTTCCACGTCTGAGTTTAAACCTCCCCAGCCCCTCAGTTTTAAATATGGAAGGGAGACGAGAACTCCTAGGATTTAACATAAAGATAAGATTTAAAATTCCACGAATTTTGAAATATCAGTAAGTGAAAGGAAACCTATCTGCCAATTTTGACTTTCCCATCTGGACTGATTGCGGCTTTTATTTCCTCTGCACCTGCCTCTCTCATCCTTTTCGTTGGGAACAAACACAGTCAGCAGATTCTCTACAAAGGATATTAACATTCTTAGGTTTCTGGTTTGGGAACAGTAAGCTTCCACCCCCGGTGCCCAGCAAAGTGAGGTGTGAGAGCATCCTGAAGTTTTATCGCACTGACGAGAGAGCAGGAGGCAAAGACAGATTGGTCTTTGTGAAGTGGAGCAGACAGGAAATAAAGATGGCCGGGTCTATTTCCAGGGACAGTGCGGGCCTGACATTTACTGCCTCCTGTCCATATTCCCATCCTCGTAATTAGAAGTGGGCTTGCTCTCCAGGTCACTGTGTTGCAGCATGGACTTTGTAAGCAGGTCTCATGCCTGCTGTCTTGGCAGATTGCAATATATGGTCTCAATCCCTCACCCCTCCTTGTGTCTACACTTTCTGCAATGCAGCTTTGAAGCTTTTTCCATCAAAAGTTAACATCTTGGGGCCAGCCCAGTGGCCTAATGGTTAAGTTTGCACATTCTGCTTCAGCGGCCCAGGGTTTGTGGGTTTGGATCCTGGGTGTGGACCTACACACTGCTCATCAAGCCATGTGGTGGCAGCGGCATCCCACATACAAAAAAGAGGAAGATTGGCACAGATGTTAGCTCAGGGACAATCTTCTTCACCTAAATAAATAAGTAAATAAGTAAGTAAATAAATAAATAAATAGGATAGCATCTATTTCCCCAGCGTTTGCAGTTGGGCTGACCCACATTGGTCTTTAGAATGTGGTGGAAATGTTGATGGGCCAGTGGTGTCCAGGCCTCTGTAGTAGGCAGAGTTCCAAGGTGACCTGCAGTGACCTTCACTCTTGTGTCATCTCCTTGCCTTGACTGTGGTTAGCACCTATGAATATGATGAGCTATTGCCCTTGTGATTCCATAATAGGAAAAGGGATTTTTCAGATATAACTGACTTTCCAAATCAGTTGACCTGAAGATAGGGAGATTATCCAGGTGGGCCTGCCCTATCACATGAGCCCTAAATCTGGGTCTCGAGGTCAGAGACTGAGGAAGTCAGAGATCTGAAGCATGAGAGTGATTTGAAGTGTCCTTGCTGGCTTGGAGAGGGCCTTGTGGGAGGGAGTGTGGGCAGCCTCTGGTTGGCGAGAGTGGACTCTGACTGACAGCCAGCAAGGAAGCAGGGACCTCAGTCCTATAACCGCAAGGAATTGAATTCTGCCAACACCAAGTTTGAAATTGGAAGCAGATTTTTTCCCCCAAAGTCTCCAGACAAGTACTCAGACCAGCTTGTTTTCAGCTTTGTGATGGCCAGAGCAGAGAAGCCAGTCATGTTGTGCTAAACTTCTGATTTACCGAACGGTGAGCTGATAAATGATTGTTGTGTTCAGGTGCTAAGTTCGTGGTAATTGTTATGCAGCAATAGAAAACTAAGACAGTTTCAAAAGACCTGTGCACGTCTGTTCTCTCCTGAAACCTTGCCAAGGTCATGAGACCGTGCCCAGACTAGGCTGCTGGAGACTGAAAGACCACGTGAAGCAGAGCTGACAGCTGGCCAACTTCTAGAAGCACAGCCACCTAACCAACCCGTGGTTGACCCCACATACCTGAAGGAGCTCAGCTAAGATAGAGCCACACAGCTGATCCTAGCATAGGCTGCTGACTTGCAGAATCATGAGTGCTGTGGTCTGAATGTTTGTGTCCCGTTAGATTCATATGTTGACATACCCAATGTGATGGTATGAGGAGGTGGAGCCTTTAGAAGGTGATTAGAGCATGAAGGAGGAACTCTTATGAATGGGATTAGTGCTCTTTTAAAGAGGCTCCAGAGAGATCCCTGGCCCTTCTGCCATATGAGGTTACAGTGAAAAGATGGCCACTTATGGACCAGGAAGCAGGCCCTTGCCAGATACCCAATCTGCCTGCACCATGGTCTTGGACTTCTCAGCATTCAAAACTGTGAGAAATAAAAAATGCTGTTTATAAGCCACTCAGTTTGTGGTGTTCTGTTATAGCAGTCCAAACAGACTAAGACAATGAGCTATAAAAATAATTGTTGTTTGGTCCATTATGTTTTGGTTGGTATATTACACAGCAATATCTAATTGACAGGCTACCTGTCTTCATGAGCAGGCACCACACCTTGATGTCTTTACTTAATGCTAAGGTGTACATTACCGCGTTTAGAGAGGATGGAACTGATGGAACTGACTGTGCTGAAGATACGAAGCTTTTCTCTGTCTAGTGATGAGACCTCGTTTCAATGAGATATCCAGCCGTCTACGACCTTAGAGCTGATGAAAACTGTGGCATGGTTTTGATCAGGATTATCACACAGGCTGTGTCAAAATTCCTCATTGCTTCTCCAATTCGTGGTAGAAATATAATCAATTTATAAACATTCGTTATGACCAGGAGCTCAGGGTAAATTATTTTAACAACCCAACTCTTCATAATTGTAAATATGACTTTAAATTGTAAATATGTAAAAAATAAAAGAAAATTGTCTTGCCAAATTTCTGACTATAGTCAAAAGCAGACAGGCTGTGGCAGGCAGCAAATGTGAAAAAAGGAAGATGGAAGATTTCAATGGTGTACTCATGTTGACAGAGTTTACAGCTGTACAGACATTTATATATAAGTGCAATATGTCTGCATGTGAGTCTGAACTGTCCTCAGTAAACTCAGGGAGGCTGTTTTACAAAGCTGGGTTTCTTCTTCAGCAGATCACAGCTTATTTTGTTTCCTAGATGAACAAGTAGGTGTGAAACAAAGATGTGGGTTGCTCAATTTCATTTTGAACTCCTGATATGGATGTTAAGGATCTTAGACTTACAAAGTTCGACTTCTATAGTATTATAATAATAGGAAGACTGCTATAGCATCTAATGTTAGTATCTCCATCAAGGAGCTATGATGATGGCTTGCCCCCGTTCCCAAATACACCAGGAAAGGAGAGAACAGACAACTGCGGTTGGAGGTCGCTGTAAGACTAGTGTGAAGGAAATAGATCAGCAAAAGGGCTGCCATTGCTGACAGATTCGGTGGTGGGGGGGTGAGTGCTCTTGCAGGGGAAAAGTAAACAGTGGCTTGCAAAAAACAGCAAGTGGGTTGTTAAAAGGTCAGACAGGGACAATGTCTCTGTATGAGAAAACTGGAGGTGGAGAAGTGGGTAGGAAATTTAATTCAAAACATTAGTGACCCATAGAGAAAAGGAGAGCCAGTGTAAGGTGGGGATGGAGGAGGTGAATATTCAAGTTCAACTGCAGAGAGACCCATGGATATATTGTTGGTTTCGCTGATACAGAGACCTGCAGATATCTCCCAGGAAAAGCCAAGTACTGGATGCTTAGTGTGTTTGACAGGATATTCAGCTGGACATTGTTGTGGATGCCTAGATGAGAAATACCATCCTTGTTACCTAAGAGGAATTCTGCCACATCCCAGTAAATGAAGATTGCATGATTTGTATAAACAAAATTGCTCCTCATTTGCTATTTGGCTGGAGAGAGGTGATGAACAGAGGGCAAACTAGCCCTCAGTAACTCCTCAATCTTGCATAGTTCCTATTCTAGAAAAATCTAGGTATCACCAACAAGCAAAATTTGATCTGGAGGGAGAGAGAGATTTCTGTGGGAAATTCAGAAGAGGAGAATAATGATTAGGACTCAGCAAAAGCCTAGGTTTTTCTTGTGTAGGTGGAATCTTTCCCTTTGGCGGGTGGGGAATCTCAGAGGATTTGGATGTGCATGTCGGTCGTTGCTGGCCATCCATTATGTGAGTCTCTCTGGGAAACATTATTCACACAAGCTCTTTTATCCTGACTTGTGGACCCCTGTCTAGTCCCTTTCCACATCCCATTCCTCATGCCTACAGCTTTCTCTTGTTCTGGGCAAGGGAAGAGCAGCTTAGTGAGGTGGGTATCAGAGAGAAAGACTCGTAGGTGTGCCCATGACTCAGAATTATCTGCCTTTGTCAGTACCATTCACATGGGCAGCCCTTCCTTGGAGACCCCACATGACCTGACACATCCATTTACGACAGCACTCATTGCATTGTTTTTGGGAGTCCACTGATTTCCCCCCCACCCCCCACCCCCGCCCCCCAACTAGACCTTGTACTCCTGGCACACAAGTCTTTGTTTTATTTATCTCTGACCCTCAGTGCACATCACCATGCCTGGCACACAACAACGGCACTCAAATATCCATTGAGTCGATGAGACTAAATATGAGAATACACATATGACCATGCTTCCGTTAAAATGTATATTTTTGGCCATTTCCTTTAAAAAAGGATGTGAAATGTTGAAGAGACAAAGGTCTCCAGACATTATTTTTCTGTGCAGCACGTAGGGCTAGAAATAGCTGTCTTGCTGACCCTGTACTTCAAAGGCAGCAGGAAGCTAAGTGTCGCCATCTTTGATCTATAGCCTACATCAAAGAACAAAAGGGCAGGAGTGAATGGGTAGTTGATGAAAGCGAGTATCTTGTTTCAAGTTCAAAGCAGTGCTTTTGTGACCTGTTATGTTATCAGGAGTGACACATCCTACCCGTGCACTCTGGACAAGCCTTTGGATGTCACCACCTCTGTCTGGGCTACAAGCTATTGGCAAGTCTTCCAGCTGAAAGTGCCAGTTGCACAGTCCCAAGGCGCTCCACAGCATTCCCAGGTCGCCGACAGTTGACTCCAGAGACTGCTTGCTTCCAAGCCAGGTGTGTATTTTATTTTCTGGCAGAGCTATTATTTCATCACTGTCACAAAACTTCAGACTTAGGGGACATTCAAGGACGCAGAAGGAACAATTAAGTCTCATTCCTGAAATGAGATATTTTCACTGGCAACTATAAATGGCTTCATCAAATAGTTGCTTCCCAGCAGATGCTGAATATGGGGAAGTATAATTATAATACAGAGTATGGCACTCTTTCAGAAGTTGGGTATTTATAGACTCTGGCTCCATCACATAGTATCTGCATGACCTTGGGTTACTCAGTCTTTCTAAGCTTCAATTTATTTATATGTAAAATGGACATCATAATATAAACAGGGTATTGGTGAGTGTTGGGGGCCGCTCGTTCCTTACTCCTGATGTTTCTTTCCATCTGAAAGGATCTCCTCCTTTTCCTCTGTTCCCTTCCCTTATTAGCCTGAGGCTTATAGCCTCCCTCCACTAACCCCTTGCTTATTCAAAATTTACTCACCCAACTGGTGGGTGTGAAAGAGCAAGTATAGTGCAGTCCATCCTTTATCATTTCTCCTGGGGCAAACTGCTTCTGGGGAGTAGGAATTTTTTTCTTCTGGGTTGGGGCAGGGAGAGGCCAATGTCCTCCCCCAGCACTGCCTGACTTGTCTGTCATGGTGGGCTGCCTCTGAGAAGATTCTGTATGATCGCTGCCTCATGGTGTTCATGTGCTCATGTAATCTCCCCCTCTTGAGTGTGGGCTGGACCTAGTGACTTGCTTCTAACAAACAAATATGGCAAAAGTAATGAGATGTCCCTTCTGAGATTAGCTTACAAAAGGATTGTGACTTCTGTCTTGCTGACCCTCTCTTTCTCTGTCTTATGGAGCCCTTGCTATGGAGGGAAGCCAGCTGCTGTGTTGTAAGTAGCCCTACAGAGAGGTCCATGTAGCAAGGGACCAATGTCTCTGGCCAACAGCCAGCAAGGAACTGAGACCCTCAGTCCAAACAGCCTGTGAGGAACTAATTCCTGCCAACAGCCAGTGAGTCTGGAAGCCAATCTTTTCCCAGTTGAACCTTTAGCTGACCACAGTCCTGGGCAACACCTTGATTGCAGCCTGTTGAGAAACTCTGAGTCAGAAGACCCAGCTATGCTGCACTCAGATTCCTGATCCACATCAACTGTGAGATAATAAATATTTGTTGTTTAAAGCTGCTGAGTTTGGGATTATTTGTTACACAGCATAGGTAACTAATACAGCTGGGTAGGTCTGGTTCATTCTTGTGTTCAGTTTTAGGAAGCCCTTTGTCTCTCTGACGAATCTTAGCCTCTGTTGGTCATGAAGGTGATAGTTTGCTTCCCATCTGTGTTTTTCTTTTTGGGTTACTTCTCAATTGTTTATTAATTAGAACCCTGGACAAGGGAGAGGTATGTTATTTCCGTCCACTGACCCCTCCACTAAAATCTTCAATTGAAGGCTCTCCATAGATGTTACTTGCCTTCCAGAACTACTGTGGGGATCGCTGCAAGCGAAGTAGTAGGGATCCGGCTTTGCTGGAGACAGAGCTTTCCCAGTTCCTCTTCTATCAACAAAAATGCACACGCTCTTTCTAGGCACTGCTACTGGACCTGACAAAGGCTGATGTGCTTTGAAGTTCCGTCACCTCCAAACCTAATTCACAAACTTCTCCAAGGCCACTGTCTTGGCCTCATCATTTGCTCCTATCAGAACATCCCCGTTCAAGCTTAGATCTTAGCAGTGGAAACCTCAAGTTCATGTGAAGCGAGTGTAGGAGGAATTCTGGGGCTTAAACAGCTGCTGAACTTTGAGGTCACTTCAGGAGGAGGACAGGCCTTCCCACTCGATCATAGTGGCAAGCCCATATAACTTTAGGGAAAGCAGACAGAGAAACCTATAATATTATTAGACAGTTAAAGACTTTCCAGAAAGTGTTAACAAGGCCACAAGCATTTGGGCACTCGTCGCTTTTTCTCACTTGTTCTCTCTCGGTTTAGTGAGTTTAAATGTGTGCACACTTAATTTCAAAGCTTTGGCCACTCCTGGACATTTTTCACACGTGGTCCAGGAGTGGGCAGTCTATGAACAGCCTCTCACTGGGAGTCACAGCTCCCTGGAGGGAGAGGAGTGGGCTTTACTTGACCCCCTCCGGAGAGATGGCCTGGCAGCTCAAGAAGGTTAAAATGTGCTGTCTCCACTTCTTCCTTTGCGTCTCATTTCAGATTCTGTTTATTTTTTTAAAAAAAATATTTAAAAGCAGAAAAACAGCATTTGGATTTTATAAAATACAACAGATCAATTCCTACTTGTGGTTTTACCCTGGAACCTGGCATAGAGAACAGTTCTAACAGATATTTTTCAAAAATCATTAGGTTCACCAAAATTCAAGCTGGCCCACGACGTTTGGATAGGATCCATTTTTTTTAATCTAATATTTTTCCACCCCAAGTGGTCTCTGGCCTTTAATCCTGTTCTCTGCATCATGAATTTAGGAAAAAACCTGGATTTTCCCACTGAAGATCTATGAGTTCTTCATATCCATGGATTTCTGGGCAAACATAATTACTGGAGTAAGAAGGAAAAGCACAGTTGATAAATTTCCTGCCATTTAGGGAGGCCCCATGATTTTTAATAACCTCCCAATTTCTGCTACTCTTCTCTCTCAATTTCCCTGGGCCTCCCTTGATGCTATGCTTATTTTCATATCTGCGTTGGATGACTTAGGCTAATCAAAAGTCATAGGTGATAATTACGAAAAAAATGTTTTATGTTAAATATAATTTGTATGGGGGTAGAATGATAGGCAAGATTTTTTACTTCTTGTTCCACAATTTCTGGATGTATTATTTTTGTGATTAACAACAGTGTGTTAAAGTAAGCCCAGCCTATTTCTGCAAAAAATAGAAAAAAATATTTTATTTTAGGAGACATTTATAATTTTAAAGTGTGGTTAATATATAATATGTCTACATAGTTAATTTGTAAAAGTACATGTCATTTCATTAGGGCGCTATTAGATTCCTATTGCTGCTGTAACATATTACCACAAACTTAGTGTTTAAAACAACACAAATTTGTTATCTTACAGGTCTGGAGGTCAGAAATCTGAAATGGGTCTCCCTGGGCTAAATTAAGATAACAGCAGAGCTGGTTTCTTCTGAAGGCTGCAGGAGGAAGCTGTTTTCCTGCCTTTCCCAGTTTTGGGAGGCTGCCTGCATTCCTTGGCTCATGGCTCTGCATTGCTCCAATCTCTGCTTTCATCATCACATCTCCTTTGACTCTGACGTTCATGCCTCCCTCTTTCACTTATAAGGACCCTTGTCATCTCGTTGGGTCTACTCAGATAGTCCAGGGAAAGCTCTCTATCTCAAGGTCCTTAACTTAATCGCATTTGCAAAGTCTCTTTTGCCATGGAAGGTAACCTATTCACAGATTCTGTGGATGAGTATGTGGATACCTTTCAGGGGAGGGGGTCATTGTTCTCTTTACCATAGGCATTTTCAGAAGAATGCTGACTTGGGGGTCATGATATAAAAGGGTCCTAGACTGTCTCTGCTTGTTGGTATCAAGGCCAGGATGAGACAAAAGACAAGAGTCCTTACCATTACTATTGCTATTATTTAGAAAAGATACAATGAATTTTGGGCTGGCTTGGTCATGCAGTGGTTAAGTTCGCATATTCTGCTTCAGTGGCCCGGTGTTTGCCAGTTCAGATCCTGGATGTGGACCTACGCACAGCTTGTCAAACCATGCTGTGGTAGGCGTCCCACGTATAACGTAGAGGAAGATGGGCATAGATGTTAGTTCAGGGCCAGTCTTCTTCACCAAAAAAGAGGAGGATTGGTGGCCGATGTTAGCTCAGGGCTAATCTTCCTCAAAAGAAAAAAAAAGATACAACAAATTTTTATTGCTGTTCTCTTTCTCAGGTAAAACTAAGGTAATTCAACTCTAACTGAGACCATTTTGGTATGCCAACTTGCCCTAGTATAGAGGAATCACCCTGAATTCAATAAATAAACCATTCTGTAAAGAAATTATTAGTTTAGGAACCAACTGGTTTAGACTGCCTGAAACTATGCATATATTGCTATAATTGAATAACAGACTGTTTCAGATTATTACATGTATGCATACACACACTACGGGTAAAAAAAAAGGCACATTTAACATCCACATGAATCTAAAACCAATCGCTGGAAAGTTTGCACAAAGGCAAGACATGCCAGGCTGTTTTTTGAGTTTATCTACCTGCAGATTTTATTTAATGTCCTGACATACTTCAAGTGGAATAAAATCCTGATGACCTGTCCATATTTCATTTGCCGTAATGAACATTACAGATCATTAAAGATGGCCACTTCATGTGACTCTCCAAGCTGGAAATCTCCATTCATTCCCCACTGACCACTTTAACACTTTCTGTATGTCTCCCCCTTGTCTGTTACATGAACATCAACAAAACTCATGTTTCCACTTGTTCCTGAATATCCTTAGTGATTTCCAGCATCTCTATCTTTTTTCATCTTATTGCCCTCTGGCTAGAAGATGCTCCCACTTTCTCCACTAATCTTAAATCTACCAACCGAAGGCTCAAATCAGGTTATTTGGACTGGGTGACTCCTATAGCACGCAGGCTGCACCCAGTTTGCTTGTAATTTTGAGCAGGTTCTTTTTATTTGTGGCAAGATGCAATTATGAAGTCTACTCCAAAGCCAATAAATGATAAACAGGGGTGTGTGTGTGTACCCTGGAGTACACAGGGAGCACACAGGGACATGGGCAGCATCAAGAAGATCAGCTTCCGGTCCTAAAATTCCCGACATCCTCTTTGCTGAAACGGATCTGCCTATAGGCACATGATCTGCAGACTTTCTTCTTCTTTTCTTTTCACACTCACCCTTTTCCCATGTTTCCCCTTATTCCTCCTTATTCTTGCTGGGGGAAGACCCCTGAGTGCCAAACCAAGGGACCCTGTGAAATACTGATAATGAGAAAGCAAAGTACTCTAATGACTGGCAAACACATCCTTTTACAACTCAGGTGGTTTCTAATGTTTTGCTCTAAGCAAAATTGAAGATTTATTATTATTCAGGATTATTCAAAATAATGTTTGATGATAGACCTCTATGCTATGTTTAGGATGTAACTCTGAAAAAGGTCAAAGAATTGAAGGACATTGCTGTAACAAAATCTATTCCATTTCCAGCTACTTGTCTTTTTTTGATAAGTCCTATCAGTGCTATTTATTAAAATGAAGAATAACATTAATGCTGGCCTCTATCTCATTCTAGCAACAAGTAATATTCATTCCTGGAGATATGAACTAATTAGGAAAAACAAACCAGTCTTAGCTGTCTTATTAAGAGGTAAAATTCTGGTGGAATTTGCATTTTTATGTTTATCAACTTTTAAAGTATATTTGCATTCTTTTGATTAATTGTGTACTAAATGTGAAGTATTATGATAACTTTTCAGAAGAAAATTTTTTAAAAAACGTTTGGATGTGCATGGTCACAGGGAATTTAAAAAAATTGTCAATTTACAGCCTGTTTTTTTTGGAGTGAATTATGATGGGCTTATTTAGCAAAATTCTTTTAAGTATAATATATTATTGTATTAGGATAAAGGTCTATGGAGAAGATGAAATGGAAGTAAGACTTGGAGGAACATTATAAAAGAGATATGTATGTACATTTATATTTTTAAATGTACAATGCTAAGTATCAAATTCCTTTGGAATTTAGATTCCATTAGAAACATGTAAAGAGTGTAGTAATAGCTTTATTTTAGACTTGCAATATTTACACTTCACTGGAAGTCTTGTCTAGCAACTTCTTAACTTAGGATAAAAAGTGAATAGGTAACTTAAAAATGTGATAGGTAGGACACAGTCCTTTGAAATTACTTTAGGGAATAGATGAGCAAAAAGTGTTGAAGAACAGACAACCAAGATCATCCATAATGATTTAAAAGCAAGATTTCAAATGAGATTAATAACTATAGGCTAGGGGTGGCAGAGAGCATTGTTTCAAAGAATGATAGAGCGTGGACTGGCCTCTGACAGCAGGTGGGGTCTGGGATCGGAGGATGATAGAATTTGCAGAATCCAATCTGAGAATTGGCAGGACCCAAACCCTCACTCTCGTCTGCAACCCCAGGGAAGCAGAGGATGTGTGGACAGGAGCAGGAGAGTAGAGATGGCTGCATGGGGGAAATGCCCGGGATTGCATAAAGTTCCACTCATATGGTTCCTCCTAGTGTCTGCTCTGGGTTGGAAGCCAGTTGTCTCATTAATGCACCCTGTTTAGCTTATCTCCCTCCCCTGTCTCACTTTCCTCCATGCCCCTCCCAAAGAAACTACCTGCATCCGAGTTCTATCTCAGGATCTGCATTTGGGGGAACCCAAACCAAGACATGTGCAGTCAGTTACTTTCTTAAATGGAATAAATTTAAGTTCCATTCAATTTAGCGTACATTTATTGGGTGCATTCTAGGTTGGCTCTAAGGATACCCAATAATTATTTATTGATTGATTAATCAGGATGGCATGGCCAGGAGTATCAACTGATCCCGTCTCTACTGAGCGTACATAAACAGATTTGGAAAAAACTGACCTTGAAGAAATTAATCTTAGAAAGAGACGATATGTGTAGTGAGAAGCTGATCTGTCAAAAGCCAGAAAGGAAATGGAGAGACATAATGAAAGTTGAACATTTAGTGCAATTCTTTTGGAATAACTGTAATTTTTCATTAAACATTTTTTCCTTCTTACGAAATTTGCTGCTGTTCCCTTGTTGCAACCAGGAACCTTAAAAGAACCCAAGTGCAGTGTCTGGTTTTAAAACAACAGTTCAGCTTTATTCATAAGGGCAAATAAGAATCAGGTTCTAGTCTGAAGTTAATAGGAAATAAGCAACATTTCCCCCTTAACTTTCACTATGGCTCATGTAAGTGCTAGAAATGCAATTACGTAAGCGTCTAGCTGACGTTTGGAGTGTTGCCTTGATTATTTAACTGTAGTTATAAAATGTCTAATTTGCATATTGCATTTTTTTCTTTTGCAGCAGTGGTCTAAAGCTTATAAACAAGGCTTTATTTCTTAAGAAAAGTGTTTAAAACAGAGGCTTCTGGCAGTGAGAATACAGAGACTTAACCAGCATTTGGCTTTGAGCTTCTGTAGGGAGGTATGTTTATAACTACTATTGGAGAAAACCAAAATTAGAGAGAAATAATGAGAGAGAAATAGAAAAGTTATTAACGAGTAGAACCAGAGAGCTTGGAGGAGAAACTGAGTTTCAAATCTCTCTTAAATGGTTCCTCCAAAGGTGTGACCTTGAGCAAGTGGTGGCCTCACTTCTTCCATCTGAAATGATGAGGACCACTTGTGATGCTTAGAATCATCACTGGGGCTTGCTGTCAACTGGTTGCTTTTTCTTTTCTGTAAGGAAGATTGGCCCTGAGCTAACATCTGTTGCCCATCTTCCTCTTTTTGCTTTAGAAAGATTGTCGCTGAGCTAATATCTGTTCCCATCTTCCCCTATTTTTTATGTGGGATGCCGTCACAGCATGGCTTGATGAGCAGTGCTCAGTCCACGCCCAGGATCCAAACCTGTGAACCCCGGGCCGCTGAAGCGGAGCATGCAAACTTAACCACTACGCCACTGGGTTGGCCCCTGGTTTGCTTTTTGATGCTCAAAATTATTGAATAAGTTCTTCCTTCACCACAGTGTTGCAGTGTTTTAATAAGGAACAGACACAGATCAGAAAAAAAAAAAAAATAGAGCATGACAAGGCAATGCTGGTTCTTATATCCATAGAATGTCTGAGTTGGAAAGAAAATTATCATCAACTACTTAAAAATCATTTTAGGGCTCTTACTATGTGCTAAGCACTCTGCTGGACACTTTACAAAGATAACCTCATTGCATCATTTCACCAATCCCATAAGGGGGGCATGATTATGTACATCTTATAGAGAAAGAGACAGGCTCCCAGAGGTAATGTGGCCAACGTCTTAAACTAAAAGTCAAAGAGGAAAGATTTGTTATGCTTTTTTTAGCAACGTTTTTTTTCTTTTCTCTTTTTTCTTTTGGTGAAGAAGATTTGCCCTGAGCTAACATCCGTTGCCAATCTTCCTCTTTTTTTATCCCTGAGCCAACATCTGTGCCAATATTCCTCTATTTTTTGTCTGTGGGATGCCTCCACAGCATGGTTGATGAGTGGAAGAAGTCCATGCATGGAATCTGAACCCGTGAACTCAGGCCACAGAAGTGGAGCACATGGAACTTTACTCAGCCATGAGGCCAGCCCCCCTTTTATAGGAAGTTTTAACTGAATTTTTGTTAGATCATTTTATTAATTGATATATATCTGTAGTGTTCATTTTTATTTTATTTTATTGTGGTAAGAACACAATGTGAAATTTAGTTTCTTAAATTTTTAAGTGGACAATATGTTATTGTTCACTATGGGTGTGCTGCTGTATAGCAGATCTCTAGAGCATATTCATGTCTTGCTTAACTGAAACTTTATGCCCATTGATTAATAATTCACCATTTCTCCCTCCTCCCTGCCCTTGACAACCACCATTCCTTTCACTTTTAATTCTATGAATTTGACGGTTTTAGATACCTCATATAAATGGAGTCACACAATATTTGTCTTTCTATGACTGGTTTATTTCACTTAACATAATGTCCTCAGAGTTCATCCATATTTCTGCATATAGCAGAATTTCCTTCTTTTTGAAGGCTAAACAGTATTCCATTGTATGTATAAAACACATTTTCTTTATCCAATCTTCTGTTGATGGACGCTTAGGTTGTGTCCACGTCTTGGTCATTGAATAGTGCTGCAATGAACATAGGAATGCTAATATATCTTCAAGATCCTGATTTTAATTCTTCTGGATAAAAACCCAGACGTGGGATTGCTGAATCATATGGTAATTTTACTTTTAATTTGTGAGGAACTTCCATACTGTTTTCCATAGTGACTACACCATTGTTTTCATTCCCACCAACAATGTGCAAGGGTTTCAATTTCTCCACATCCTTGGCTGACAACACTAGCTGTCTTTTGTCTTTTTGATAATAGTCAACCTAACAGGTGTGAGATAATATCTCATTTTGATTTTGATTTGCATTTCCCTGAAGATTAGTGATGAGTATTTTTTCATATACTTGTTGGCCATTTGTGTATATTCTTTGGAAAATGTCTATTCAAATCTGTAGCCCTTTTTGCTTTTCTGAGGAAGACTCACCCTGCGTTAACATCTGTTGCCAATCTTTCTCTTCTTTTGCTTGAGGAAGATTAGCCCTGAGCTAACATCTATGCCAATTCTCCTCTATTTTGTATGTGGGTCGCCACCACAGTATGGATGACAAGTGGCTTAGGTCCCTGCCCAGGATCTGAACCTGTGAACCTGGGCTGCCAAAGCAGAGCTTGCCGAACTTAGTCACTATGCCATGGAGCTGGCCCCAGTAGCCCATTTTTCAATGGGGTTATTTGTTTTATTGAGTTATGTTGTATGATTTTTAACCACTATGCATATGTCTTCCTCTTCTTCCTCCCCCTCTCTTTTAAAATGAGACTGTTGGAAACTCTGTGATGTTCCAAGCAAGACGCCTGGAGTAATAAGCGACAGAGGACGTAGAATGCAGGCGTTGACTCTCAGGCAAGTAACTTGGTGCTGCACCGCTTGCCACCACCCGAGGCTTCCCTGTGCGACAGAGGAGATGGCTGACATGCGAGTGTGCCGTGACACGTAGACTGATTGTTCTCAGTGTTTCAAAATGACATCTACAAGCCCTGTAGCAGGTTTCGGAGGCCCAGATCCCTGGGGTACAAAAGGGAGTCGAGCTCCTTCGCTTCCTTTCCTGGACGCCTTCCTTCCCAGGAATAAAGAGCACAGGAAAGATTTTAATGGCCTTTGGCTGATAAATGGATATAATTATTATTCTTTAAATGGAAACAACTCACTCAAAGACTTTTCGGATGACTTTTGAAAGAACAAACAAGCAATTTTATGCCGGTAGCTTGGGTAGTTCTGTGTTACAAATCCCCTTTCCATTCATTTACCAGTTTCCTGTCTTTTCCATTAGACTCCTATTCCTGTTGACTTCGCTTTTCGTTTACCTAGAAAAGCTTAGTTCATCTAAAAATGGGGGACTTCGCTGTACACTTTTTAGTTTTTTTTTCACTAAAAAACTTTTTAGTAAATTTAGTTCAGTTTTTCAGTTTTTACTAAAAGTTATTCCTAAACTCTATTTATTTTATTTTTAGTATTCTCTTTTATTATTATTATTTTTACCATTCTCTTATTTATTTATTTATTTATGTTTTAAAGATTTCATTTTTTCCTTCTTCTCCCCAAAGTCCCCCGGTACATAGTTGTATGTTCTTCGTTGTGGGTCCTTCATAGTTGTGGCATGTGGGACACTGCCTCAGCGTGGTTCGATGAGTCATGCCATGTCGGCACCCAGGATTCGAACCAACGAAACACTGGGCCACATGCAGCGGAGCGCGTGACCTTAACCACTCGCCCACGGGGCCAGCCCCTACCATTCTCTTTCTACGATTTCTTTTTACTTTTTGACATCTGTTTCTACACTACTTCTGGACTGAGACAAAACAGTCACCTCAAACTCATGATGACTCAATTTTTTTTCCCTTGAAAAATCTCAAGTAACATTTAGAAGTTAGTGATTATTCTTTACAGACACGTTTGTGTCTTCAAAGAGCACCACTGAAGGCACAAACCAAGTTTTCTTTCAACCAATAAGTAATTTTTATTTCAAGGGTTCGATGTCCACATCAAATAATCATCTATTGATGTGGATGTGTGTGTGTAATAGTTAAGAATGTGACCTAAATTACCTTCGTCAAGTCTGGCTCAAAACTGGTGTGACTTTGGGCAAATTACCTAACCTTTCTTTGTCTTCTTCTTCTCATCTTTAAAATGGCAAAAAACAATAGTACCTATCTCAGAGGGTTCCTGGGAAGATGAATCAAGTCAATACCCGGAAAGTACATGGAATGGTGCCTGGTTCAGAGTAAGTAGCATATAAGTGTTAACTACTATATAGTAGCATGAATTCTCACAACTCTGCTATGGCTCTAGTTCAGCCTTGTCTAGTGCAAACATAATGAGGGTCATATACACAATTCAAAATCTTCTAGTAGCCAATTTTAAACAAGGTAAAAAATAAACAGGTGAAATTAATTTTAATAGTACATTTCTTTTAACCCACCATATAAAAATGTTTCAATGTGGAATCAATATAAAAATTATTCACAAGATATTTTACATTATTTTTTATCATATTGCATCTTTGCAATCAGTGTGTATGTTTCACTTACAGCATCTCTCAATTTAGACTAGTCACGTTCAAATGCTCAATGGCCACATTTGGCTATTGGCCACTGTACCGGGCAATGCATCTCTAAAGTGTCAAGCATTAAGATGAAAATTCTGACATAACACTTCTTTTGCCATGGATAGTTTATGTAACATTGTTGCCAGACTATTTTAGTAATACTACTAATCTAGGAATAGGGTTGGGCTCAAGAAATGTTGAGAAGAATTTGAAATTTGTCTCTGGAGTTCCTCTCGCCCTGGCTCAGTGCCTTCCTCCGATCCGACACAGTGTTCCCTGCTGCTGTCAGGATCTCTGATGAAGCCCATCCAACTTGCCTCCAGGCCACACTGCTATCTATTCTGTGCTCTGTACCCCCAGGACCCTCATGTGATGAAGTTGTTGTCGATTCTTCTTATTTATGGCAGTTATGTTCTATAAAGTCTTGCAAACACCGAATTAGCAAATACTGAAGCATTGCTCCTAGGAGAAATACAGGGTTAAGTTCCTGTGAGCCTCTGGTCACAATATTTTCATCAACTGATTAATACATAACCTCATTTGATGTGTTTCTGTTTAAAAACACCTTATTTACCCTGCACTGTTGATTCGTTAACATTCAACTCATGGACAGCAACATTTGAAGTCATGCCAGAATGAAGCTTATTTAATAGACATGCTGGACAGTACTTCAGTGCAGTGCTTGGGAGGCCATTTTAAATAGTGAAATCACCATCCAAAAACAAAAAAATGCAAGAAAACATTGGGGTAAATAGACTGCAAAAAGGACACTAGTTTTATGATATGAGAGCTGTAACGAGAAGGCAGAGAGCCCCGCCTTCTTCGACCTCAGCTGGGAATGTGTATGTTGGGCAACTCCAATTTTTTGCTGCTCTGTGTATATCCATGAATGACCGTGAAAGCTCCATGAGTACTGATTTGTGGGTTGCAAATAAATTTTAGTGAGTAGACGAATCTGGGAATAATGAGGATTGGCTGTGTTCCTTTTTGACAGCATCCGCATTTTCAGAGATGTGGGTGGGCAATTGGGAAGCTACTGAGTTCCTTCAAACTTTGTCACATGGATGATTGCTCATACATGGTGAACTGCTCCTTTATACTCCTGGGGAGTGGAGCAGCCAAATGAGTGCTCCCTGGGACTTGGTTGGGCAGAGTCAACTACAAGCAGAAAGAGCCATAGAATGAGCAGGGCTGCACCTTGGGAAAAGGTAAAAGTTGAGGAGCTCAAAACAGTAATTCTCAACTGCAGCAGGGGTGGGAGATAAGGTCAACTGATGAGGATAAGAGGAGGCATTAACTGAGAACCAGACACCACCCAGAAGTATGTGGAACAGGCCAGGACTCTTGGCTGAATAGGGCTGGGGTGTCCAGAGTTGCCTTTTTTTGGGAACTTGCTGTGTGGTGCATAAGTAGATTTCTCTGGGATAAAGGCACAGGGTCGTGGGCCAGGACAATACTCTGGCTCACATGTAAGCTTGCCGCACACGATCAGTGACAGATTATGCAAGAATTGTTGGTACTTTCATCTCCTCTTTTGTCTCCTCATTAATCTAGTTGACCTGGTTTTCTTAATTCACTGGAACCTCACCCTTTGTCTCTTTCTTCAAACCACTTTTTGTTTTAAACAAACAGAAGTGTATGTATATGTTGTAAATGATTCTAATTTTACCAAGAAAACAGCAGCATATTTAAAATATATAGTGATTCTATTATTATACAGTTTTACCCATTATTCTGAGCTCTTCTTTCGGTAAATCTTTTTAAATAATTTGGGGTTTTTTTTGGAACAAAGATTGTGTTTAGCTTTCTGTGTATTACTCAATCCCATGGCACAGTAGACAATTTTTTATTGAATAAATTTCATGTGTAATATTGCATAAGTTTAAGGTGTACAGTGTGTTACTTTGATACATTTATATGTTGTAATATGATTGCTAATGTGATATTTATCATATTACATCATTAAGTACAATATTATTGTCTATATTCATTATACTGTGCGTTAGGTCTCCATGGCTTATTTATTACTCGTTTTAAGTTTGTACCCTTAAACACCATCACTCTTAGCCTACCCCTATCCCCTGGTAATCAGAATTTTACTCTGTTTTTTACAGGTTTAACTTTTTTAGATTCCACATATAAGTGATATCATACAGTACTTGTCTTTCTGGTTTTGACTTATCTTGCTTAGTATAATGTGCTCAATGTCCATCCATGTTGTTGCAAATGGAAGGACATCTTCCTTTATTAGGGTTGAATAATATTCCGTTGCATATATGTACCACATCTTTTTTATCCATTCATCTGTTGATAGGCGTTTGGATTGTTTCTATATCTTGTCTGTTATGAATAATGCTGTGATCAATATGAGAGTGAATATATCTCTTCGTAATCCTGTTTCCATTTCCTTTGGGTATATACCCAGAAGTGGAATTGCTGGATCTCATGGTAGATCTATTTTTAATTTTTTGAGGAAATCTCATAATGTTTTCCATAGCAATTGGACCAATTTACATTCCCACCAACGATGTACAAGAGTTCCCTTTTTACCACATCTTTGCCAACATCTATTGTCTCTTGTCTTCTTGATGACAGCCATTATAACAAGTATGAGGTGGTATCTTATTGTGCTTTTGATTTGCATTCCCCTGATGATTAGTGATGCTGAGCATTTTTTTCATGTGTCTGTTGACCATTTTGATATCCTCGTTGGAGAAATGTTTGTTTAATTCTTCTGCCTATATTTAAATCAGATTGTTTGTTTTTTCGTTATTGAATTGACTGTGTTTTTTTTTTTATATTTTGGATATAAATCCCTTATCTGATCTATGGTTTGCAAAAATTTTCTCCCATTCTGTAGGTTGTCTTTTCATTTTGTTAATTGTTTATTTAGCTGTGCAGAAGCTTTTGAGTTTGATGTAGTCTTATTTATTGATTTTTTCTTTTGTTGTTTGTGCTTTTGGCATCATTCCCAAAAGATTATTGCCAAGACCAATATCAATGAGCTTCTTCCCTACGTTTTCTTCTAGGAATTTTATGGCATCAGGTCCTATGTTTAAGTCTTTGATCCATTTTGAGTTAATTTTTGTAAGTGGTGTGAGATAGGGGTCCAATTTCATTGTTCCGCATGTGTTTCTCCAGTTTTCCCAGCACCATTTGTTGAAAAGACTATCCTTTCTCCATTGGGTATTCTTGGCTCCTTTGTCAAATATTAGTTGACTGTATATGCTGGGGTTAAATTCTGGGCTCTCTATTCTGTTCCATTCACAGTAGGCATTCTTTAACCATATTTGTTCTTTTAACTGGAAATACCATCTGATTGCATTGTTTCCAAACTGGAACTGATTTTTCCTAGTCTTTATTCTATGTACAATTCAGCCACATCTCATGGTCTCTTCCTGCCCTATTCCAAAACACTCTCTACACCCTACCTGTACATGAAAATGCATTTATATTTTGAACAAAATTAACAAGTCTCAATTGGTGTATTTTCCCACTTTTTTGCAGCTTTACAAAAATTAGGGGAGAACATAAGCAAAGAGTAGGAAAAATGTATCTGGAATGATATAATATGGTACCATTGGAAGCTAAATAACCAAATTGGAAAAGGATGCTAAGAAATAATCAATAAATTAGAATCTGGATAAGGCAAAGCTTCGAAAAATTCATCCATCATTTAGAAGACCACTTTTATTGATGATGTATTAGGACGATGATATGACAGAAAATTTTGAGAAATAGAAAAAGGATCCCATAACTCTTAACACTAACATGACTCCATAAATGTTGCTTAT